TTTTCTCAATAATTCAATTCTCGTTTCTTGGCTTGCTGGTATTGGCAGAGTCATTCAGTATTGTGAAGGTTATATTTTGCTTATATTTTCTGAGAATATTGGAATTAAAAATTCAAATATGGCTAAACTATAGGATGTACTTTAAGCACTTTTCATTGTGGTTGAAGCCGAGTTAAATAATCATTGGTTTTTAAGGCTATTTGGGTTCAAGTCATTGGATTAAGATCATTTCAGTTTAACTTTTTGAGTTTTAAAATTAAATTGAAATCATTTCCAGTATGAAAGCTTAGTATCTCCCAACAATTGGCTGGTCCACTAAACTCTGCCTTACCCCATCCAAGATCAAACTCTTTGTCCTGGCTTGTGTTAAATCTGACACTATGAGGGACGGGCAGGGTTAACATTTGGCCAATCTCTAATCACCATCAACTCTGCCGTTGATTTCATGCACTCTTCAGTTACCTTTGCCTTTGCCTGTTTCACTAGCTCTATCGCATATCCTAATGGCAAGGGAGGGTTAAACTTGGTCCGTGCATTGACAAAGCAGGTAAAACGAACACCATCATTGGATCCAAGTTCCAATGCTTTTGTACAATATAAGCATGCAGTTAAGATATCACAAGTTGAACATTGGAGATTGTGTGGGACAAATCTACGAAGAGCTGAAATTTGAGTTGGTCCAAAGAAAAAAGAGCAGTGAACCTGGTTGTCTATTGGCACGGTTGTACCATTGGCGATAGTTGCATTGTCGTACTTGTAGTGCACACATGTTATGAGTGGTGAGTCTCGAGCATTCAAGAGGTGTCTTTCCCAAACTGGTGGAGTTGAAAGAGCACGTGCACCTCGTGCCATTTCCCCGATGGTAGACATGAATTGAATTAGCACAACAGCATCGCTTATGGCGTGGTTAAATTGGTGGGCAAAGATGAAACCACCACATTTGAAGCGTGTCACCTGTTCATTTACCAAAAAAAAAAAAAACCCAATTAAAGGCTAAAAAAGTCCATAAAATGATTAAGATAATTCTGCGAACTATAACTTATATTTGAGAAATTAATTGTCCTATTTGATATTTAATTATTTTATAAGATTGAATCTTGAAACGAAGAATTCTATAAACATCATAATATTCCAATTACACTTATAAGGTGAATACCTGAATTTGCAACTAAGGACAATTTGGCACATTATTGGAGCCAGGGACTTCATAAAGAAGCTCCTTGTAACATGAAAATGGTAGCTTAAGGGCATCACCAAATTCCTCAAGTATAACAACAGCATCAGCCTCAATATATAAGACACCTTCCCCAATACAATCAACCATAAGCTTTCGATTTGGGCCTTCCCTTAATCTACCAACAAATACACTAGGGTTACTGCAAGTTCTTCCTTTATAGCTCTAGCAAGGTCCTTTCCTTGCATGGAAGCGTTGCATCGATAAAAATGGAGCCCTCGAATTTGGAATCGATCACTTTCTTGGTCATTGATGTCAGAGAGTAGTTTACACTCATGAAGGGTTGGCTTTGTTGGGGTTTGACTTGAATCTCTTAATCCCATATAGAAAGTTAAGTAAAATTATAAGAGTTTAGAGTTTGTTTTGTATCATATATCAGGAGTTTAGTAAAGTTATAAGGGGTTTTACTCATGTTCTGGTTTTAATTTGATAATCTCAAATAGTTAGACATTAAGAGAATAGTTAAGTGAGTGAGCTATTAAAAAGATATAATTGAGTTTTTGGTTGAGTTTTGAGTAAAAACTTTTTTGTGACTTTTCTTATTTCAAAAGTCTCACAGTTATAAAAATTTATTTATTAGTGGATTGAATTTTGAGAAAGCCTTAGTGGATTAGATTTGGAGTATATCTTTTTTTGAGTTGGACCGAAACAAATATATTTGTGTGTTTTTATTCTTATTTTAAGCTCGTTATTTTGTACATGGGTACTGCATATGCATTTTAAATTTTCAACAAATGATATCAAAACTAAAGGTTCGAGACTTAAAAAGAGGAAAAGCAAGCCCAAGAGATCGTAAAGACAATGCATGCAAGTATTTCAAAATATCTAAAGAAGGTATGTTTAGTATGCTTATGGTTAAGTTTGAAATTCTTTTATTTGATGAAAAGAGTAATTTTATATTATAACAAAGTACAATTTAAGATATTTTAGTACAATAAGAGTTGGATCAGGCATTAGAGAGTAGTAAATTTAAGAAAATATTTGATAGTAATTAGAATAAAATTTAGAAAAAAGTTGTTAATGCTATTAGATTGGTGTTAACTCCAAAGATAAAGTACAGTGTGTTGATTAAAATACTCTAAAAAATTTATGGGATAAGCTCCAGAGTATTTATGCATCAAAGTCATTGACTAATAGATTATGTTTGAAGATGGATCTATATTTTTTGAAGATGAAAAAAGGTATAAGTCTTCATAATCACCTGAATGAGTTTAATAAGTTAGTTTTTCAATTGTTGGTTATTTCTGTTAATGAATTAGAAGATGAAGAGAATGCTTTAATTTTGTTGTAACATTTACTTGAGTACTATAGACCTTTATTTCAGACTTTGTTGGTGGGTAGGTCTATTTTAAAATTAGATGATGTGGTTGTCTTATTACTTGAGAATGGAAGGTTTATGAGAATACATAACTCATCACTTGAAGGGAATGCACTGGCTGTAAAAAATTCTAATCTAAAGAGGACTCAAAAGAGAATTGATGGATCGAGAGAGAGATCTAAGTCAAGACATAGAGATTATAATAATATAGAATGTTAATTTTGTGGTGAAAAAAAACATATCTAAATACACTACAAGAAGCTGAAAAAGGATATGACTGCTTTCAAAATGACAAATGACGAAAAAAATCAGATGAAAGAAAGCGTGATATTGCTAACATTGTTCCGATGATGATAAGATCGTTTTGACAACTTTTGTGAATGAGACTCAAATTTTGAAAGGTGATAAAGGTTGAGTTTTGGATTCAATTGCTACATGTGTGCAATGATAAAAGTTGCTTTGTGAAATTGAAAAAGAATGAGAAGTATGAGGATATTATGGTTACCAACAATGAAAATATGCAGAGTTAAAGTTTTGGGAGTGTTCACCTTAAATCTCATAATGATGTTGTTAGAATGCTTTGTCAGGTAAGGTATATATCTAGTTGTAGCTATAATTTGATTGATTTGGAAAGTTAGTTTCTCGAAGGCATACATACTATGGATGAAATGATTGGTGCAAAATGTACAAGAATGATAGTGTAATTCTACAAAAGAATAGGATAAAAAATTACTTATACATGCTTGATGAAGGTTCAATCATTGAAATTCATATGACGAAAGAAAAAAAAGGGGTAAGTGTATCAACTTTGCAGATATTGTTAAATTGTTTGAGATTCAAATCAAGGGAAGATTTATTGAGATTTGCCTTAATTTCTCAATTCCGCATCGAAAGTTGAATAAAATTATAAGAGTTAAGAGTTTATCTTGTATCTCACATTAGAAGTTTAATAAAGTTATAAGGGGTTTCACTCTTATAAATAAGATGTTTTGATTTTAGTTTAATAATCTCAGATAATTAGATATTAACAGAATAATTAAGTGAGTAAGCTATTAAAATAATGTGATTGGGCTTTGGGTTAAGTTTTAAATAAGAAAATTTTAGTGACTTTTCTTATATTTAAAGTCTTACAGTTATAAAGATTTATTTATTAATGGATTGAGTTTGAAAAAAGTAATTTTGGATTAAACCGAAACAAATATATTTGTATTCTTATTTTTATTTTGAACTTATTATTTTATGTGTGAGTGCTGTGCATACATGTTGATTTCTCAATAGATTTAGCTAGACCGGCTAGCTTCAGCTCATGCCTTCGTACTCTAAACATTAGTGAAGTGGGTGGTAGCAGTGCCATGGCTAAAAACTTCAAACTAATCTATTAGAAGAGCTAATGGAGAGTCTTGTTCTCTTGTTCTTCTTCTTAATTCTTTCACTATATCCTTGTGAGATTTATAGGTGAATTTCTTTTTTCCTTTTTCAGCGATTTGTAGATGAACTAACTGAGATCAAAGAAATATATACGTGGTTTAATAAGATTTTGACAAGCACTTTGCCACCAAGTGTTTTCCCCTATAAGGACCATTAAACTGCATGAAAATAATGTCGAATATAGTCGACACTTTTCATAGTAAACCCAAAAAAAATTGCTATGTTAATTAATGTATATGCTTTTAAATATACATCTTTCAAACGTTGCTAGGTTAATTAATGTCGAGCACCAGCACCTATTTCTCTTGTACATGGTTAGCTCAAGTGACAAATAGACAAATAGACCGAATTTTTATCTTTCTTGTTTGGGTATTAATTTATTAAAAAATTATGAAAAGATAATTTTTCATAAATTTATTAAATCTGATATAATTAAGTTTAGTTGAATCAGTCCAAACAAGATATGTGTTAGACAAAGTCCAATATATCCTTTCACTACTTAATAAAAATAAATAAATAAAGAGTTTGTCGATTAAAATATATATATATATATATAAAGGGTAGTTAAGTGTAAAATGTTAAGCCTTTAATAATAAAATTTTTTGCTAATTTAATTCACATGATGCTTTTCTATAATTTATCCAAAATTATAGTATCATTAAATTTTTAAAAATATAATGATCAAATTGAATTCATTTTGATAAAAAAATCAAACCAATAATTATACAATTGCAAAGGTTTCTTTTGGTTTATAAAATAAGCATTCAAATTATTCAATTTGCATATTAAGTACATTGATGAGTGCACCATAGCAGTTTTTTAAGAGTAAAATATTTTATTAAGAATAAAAAAGCAAATACAACAAGGAATAAAATCACCCAAAAACATAAACAAACTTGAGCTCCAAAGAGCTTACAAATGGAAATAATATATAGTCCAAAAAACAAAAGAAAAACAATAATTAAAAAATACCCACATAAAAGGCTATAAGCCTTTAATTTCACCAAGCAACACCCTGCATGTTTGGTATAAACTACTTGACATGAGAGCAAACGAGTGTGACTAAATCGCGTAAACTGTTGTTATGCATTTATTTTACAAATGATCCAATATGGTTAAAATTAGTTAAAATATGTTACCGTCATGCACCAACAGTTGCTGTCTCATCCTTCAACAAGCCATCCAGCTCCTTCACAAAGCTTTTCATAGCTGGGGCTGGCAAGCTAACCGGCACCACAATGCCGTCCTCTCCTTTCTCATTCTTCGACGGCATATGAAAGCTTATTAGCTCCCAACTAGTGGCCGGTCCAAAAAAGGCTGCCTCCCCCCACCCAAAATCAACTTGTAAGAACTTGGCACGTGTTAAATCTGACACTAGGAAAGACCCAACCAAGTTAACATTTGGCCGACCTCTAAGCACGAGTAAATCTGCCGTTGATTTCATGTACTCTTCCGTAACCCTTGTCTTGGCCTCTTTCACTAGCTTTAACGCATATTCTAATGGATTTTGGCACAGCTTTCCTGCAGTTGTTGAAGCCGCTGGGTTACCAAGTGCATTCCCATAATATCCTAATGGCAAGGGAGGATTAAACTTGGACCGAGCATTACCGATGCAGATAAGGCGAATATGTTCGTCAGGGTCAAGTCCCAAGGCTTGTGTACGACAACGCCAAACGCATGCAGATAAGATATCAAATGTTGAACAGCGGAGGTTTGCAGGGACAAATCTACGAAGAGCTGAAATTTGAGTTGGTCCGAAGAAAAAAGAGCGGCGAACCAAGTTGTCTGTTGGAATAATTGTACCATATGTGCCAACCGAATCGTACTCGTCGTGTAAACATGTTATGAGTGGTGAGTCCCGAGCATTCAGGAGGTGCCTTTCCCAAACCGGTGGGGTTGAGGGAGCAAGCGCACCTCGTGCTATCTCTCCCATAGCAGACATGAATTGGGATAGGCCAGCACCATCACTCATTGTGTGGTTAAACCTGTGAGCGAAGATGAAACTCCCACATTTCAAGCGCGTCACCTGTTAATTAAAAAAAAAAAAACTTGTTAGAATGCCGTACATTTAGTTTCAATGATCAAAGTTTAAGTTTTAACAATCTCGATTAAGTGATATCAAAGGGATAAACTAGAGTTAATAAAAAAAAGAAAAAAGACCTGAATTAGCAGCAATGGACAATTTAGAATTTCGTTAGAGCCAGGGACATCATAAAGAAGTTCGTCCGAACATGGAAACGGTGGGTAAACAACATCACCAAATTCTTCAAGCGTAACATCAGCATCAGCCTCAGTAAACAAGACACCTTCTCCAGTACAATCAACCGTCAACTTTCGGTTTGGCCCTTCCCTTAGTCTACCAGCCAATGGATAATAAAACACTAGGGTTTGAGCCAGTGCCTCCTTTATAACCTTGGCAGGGTCTTTGCCTTGCATGGAGGAGTTGTACCGATTAAAATGCATCCCTCGAATTTGGAATCGGTGACCTTCTTGGTCATCAATGTCCGAGAGTAATTTACACTCACGAGGGGTTGGCTTAGCTGGGAACACTAGCTCAGGTTCATGCCTACGGACCGTAAACACTAGAGAATTGGATGGCAGCAATGCCATGGCTAAAAATGATGATCGAAATTAAGGCTAAAGTCTTCTTTTTCTTCTGCTTATGTTCTCTCTAACTATGACTCATGTGATCAGATTTATAGTGCGAGATAATTACAAAGATTTAAGCAAAAATATATAGCATATATGGTTTAGATGTTGACAATCATTTTGCCACCATGCAGGAATCTTTCCTAACTCATCCACCAACGCAATCAGCATAAAATTAATCTTAAGTCTAGTTGAAATACTTACTATTGCTCAACTAAATTGATTAAGGTGCTCTCCAACATTAAGTAACTTTTTAAATTAATTGAATGATTGAGCATAAATGAAACAAATGATCCAAGTTGAACTTTTTTCTGCCTAATAACTTTTCTTTTTATTTTTTCGTCAAAATTTGAATATCTATAACATATAGCATTAACTTTTTTTTTTCTTTTATTTTGCTAGCATAATGCGAAGTAGAACTGTTAACAGGCGGTCTGACTCAAGCGGTGGGCATGATTTTCTAAGTTTTTTTTTATTTTTTATTATTAAAATAATTATTTTATTTAATTTTAATTTAAAAATATTAAAATATGGAAAATTATTCATTTAACATTTTTCTAGCCTATTGATTAACATTCATTCAACAGTTAATTATATATAAAAATCAGCCCCACACTTGTTTTCTCTTTCTTCTCATTTTGTTGCCTGTTTTCTCCCTACAATTGTACAAACAATTTCTGGCTAAAGTTTCTCACTCAAATGAAGACAATTTAGTTGAAAATCCTCTAATCACGAGGGATTCAAGCTATGCTTCATCAACATTCTTCATCTCCAATCTTTAAAAGAAATTTTAATTTGAGAATTTCCATTTTGAAAAGATACTTAATATTTGATTGATTTTTAATTTGCTACTAATTGAAGTGTTTAACACTTCTTTTTCAACAAAGCAAAAAACACGCACAAAAAAAGAAACTGTCCTTCATAAATGAGAAGAGGAAATTTCTTTTCCTTGCCTTCATATTCATGAACGGAAAAGATGAATTTTTTTTTAATTTAAAGTAGTGGATCTCTAATTTTAGTAATTGCAATAGCTTTGATCTGGGAAAGTTTTTCTTTTTGCATTGGATGAATAAAATAAACAAAAATAACCAGATTGCGAAAGAAAATACGAGCGAAACAATAAAAAAATGTGAAAGAAATTATTTAATTGTAACCGTTGGATGAAAGTTAATCAATAGTCAATCGTTAGAAAAAAAATGTCAAACTCTTTAGTTTTACACTCCTTTCCCTTAAAATAAAATGCTTTCAATACTTATATGGTATTTAAAAATTAACTTAGTAGATTGTATTCAATGTTAAACTTAAACTTTGGAATTGTCAACCAAATATGCCTGACTCGATCAAGCTTTTTTTTTTTTTTTTTCTAAGTCAATGAAACTTTTATTAATCATTTAAAAAATCACACAACAGTTAATATGCATCTTATCTAATTGCACCAAATACATTTCAAGCATGCTAACTCAAATATATTTAAATCAATTGTTTTTAATTTTATAAAAATTAATATAAAACAAACAAATAGGGAAAGAGTGTAATTAAATCAAATAAATAGTTTTACCAATTATCTTTGATGATCAGAGAACGAAGACAATTGTCATGTCACTTACTCGCTTTAATGGATCATAAATTGCACATGCAAAAAGTTGGATTATGGTATCCAACTTTACGTTACGTGGTAGGTGCATATATATTCTCAAATAAAAAAAATTCTATCATTATTAAATTAATAATATCAATAAACTCTACTTCAAATTAAAAGACAAAAAAATTTAAGGGCCACGAACTATTAAAAAGTAAAAAGTTTTTTGTGGTCCATGAATGTATTTATGATGTTTTTAGATTGCCTTAGCTGAAAAGAGGTGAAATGAGATTGGTGGAAAGCAGTTTGAACTTAAAACTAAAAATTATAATCAGCGAGTGTCGAAATTGTTATTTTGGGTGCGGTCCGAAACTTAAATCAATAAGATACCTGAGATAAGATACAAAAAAAGGAAGGAAAAAAATGAAAATTGTGAACTATGTGAAAGAAGTTTCAAAAGAAGAGAAATTCATAATGTATAGTAGGGTTCTCTCCCTTGTGCTTATGTACTTTATTTTTCAATTACCTTATATATGAGATTAAGAAGAGTAAATTGATTAGAACAATTTATAGCTTATGAAATTTATATGTGAAGCTAGAAGTGCTTCCACAAGGATAGTATTAGTTGCATTTAATAATATTAAGTTAGTGTAGGCTACATTAAATATCAAGCGATCAGTTCTGAAATAATTGTCTTGACAAATTATTAATGAAATCTTAGGCTGAGTTCTTCTTTTGACTAACAAAAAGCTATTTTTCTAGAGTAAATGACATAATTATCTAAGCATATTTTATCTGAACGATCTCAAAATATAATTGTACAGACCAAATCTTAACGACTTTAACTTATTGACGTAATAATACTACAAGCAAAAGTTAGAAAGGCTTTTGTCCATGGGCAATCGTCTTTACATCTTTTAATTTCTTCTGGGCTTGTCTTCTTAATGATTCAATTCTCGTTTCTTGGCCTGCTGGTATTGGGAGAGCCATTCATTATTGTGAAGGTTATATTTTGCTTATATTTTCTGAGAATGTTGGAATTAAAAATTCAAATATGGCTGAACTTTTGAATGTACTTTAAGCACTTTTCAACTTGGTTGAAGCCAAGTTAAATGATCATTGGTTTTTAAGGCTATTTGGGTTCAAGTCATTGGATTTAGATAATTTCAGTTTAACTTTTTGGGTTTTAAAATTAAATTAAAAATCATTTTGAGTATATGAAAGCTTAGTATCTCCGAACAATTGGCTGGTCCACCAAACTCTGCCTTGCCCCACCCAAAATCAACCTCTCTGAACCTGGCTCGTGTTAAATCTGACACTATGAAGGATCGAACGGGGTTAACATGGCCAACCTTTAATCACCATCAACTCTGCCGTTGATTTCATGTACTCTTCAGTTACCTTTGCCTTGGCCTGTTTCACTAACTCTATTGCGTATCCTAATTGGTTTTGGCATAGTTTTCCTGCAGTTGTCTGAGCCTCTAGGTATCCAAGTGCGTTCCCATAAAATCCTGATGGCAAGGGAGGGTTAAACTTGGTCCGTGCATTGACAATGCAGATTATCAAAAGAAGATGATGAAAGCACATGACAAGAAAGTTCATCCTCGTCACTTTAGGAAAGGAGATTTAGTGCTTAAAAGGATCCTTCCAAATCAATATGACAATCGAGAAAAATGGACACCAAATTGGAAGGGTCCGTACGTGGTGAAAAAGACCTTTTTCGATGGGACATTAATTTTGACAAAAATAGATGGAGGTGATTTACATACTCCAATAAATTCAGATGCTGTGAATAAATATTTTGCTTGAAAAAAAAAGTTAAAAAAAATGAAAAGTAATGACTCATCTAAGCTGAAAACATGAAAAATCAACTTGAAAATACTTACAACACTGGGACAGGTGTAGTTTGATGAACTCTGAAGAATTAAAGAAGTCATCTTATTTAGTTTTTTTTTAAAAAATTGAGAATATTTTATTTATGATTATCTTGTGATCATTATTTGGACATCTTTGTTTCAACTCAAACACTTTGCCATGCACTTATTATCGGTCTAATGAAATATGCTATCTTTCTTTTGGAAATAACTCATATCCATTCTTTTATTCTCATTGGATTTTTTGTTCACTGTACAAATAGGAGAAATGTATGATTGCATATTGTTTGTCTTGAACTTAAAATGATGGAAATGAAACAAACATGAAAGATCTTAGCATTACTTTTTAAAAGTTGACAAAGGCAAATGAAAAAGGATGAGAAAAGCATGACAAGACATTGATATTACAGATTTTAAAAGAAGAAAAGTGAAGAATACAATGGTCAGAGGTTAAGGACAGATTGGTCATATGGCAATTGTTGAGAATTCTGATAAAAGAAGTAAAAAGCGAGAGATTTTGAGAACCTTTTTATTACAATAGGTAATTTTGATTGCATTACATGCATTGCTTTTAGAGCACTCAGTACATGCATCCATGAGCAATCATAATAAAGACATAAACTTTCCATTTTTTTTAATGAAAAACCAAGATTTTGATATTCGGATGAAGATAATAATCAAACAAAAGATTTCAAAAAAGAGAAATTTACTTGTTTAAAGATGAGACTCGATTTCGAGAAAAGATGAGATTTTAAAATTGTAGAGTCTCTGCTGAGAGAAGCTTTTTCAAGATGAGATTTTAAAGTTATTGAGCTTCTGCTGAGAGGAGCTTTTTCAAAATGAAAACTTTAAAGTTGTTGAGCCTCTGCTGAGATGAGCTTTTTCAAGATGAGATTTTAAAGTTATAGAACCTCTGGTGAAAAGAGCTTTTTCAAGATTAGATTTTAAAGTTGTAGAGCCTCAGCTGAGAGGAGCTTTTTTCAAGATGAGATTTTAAAGCTGTAGAGCCTCTGCTGAGAAGAGCTTTTCCAAGATGAAAATTTTAAAATTGTTGAACCTCTGTTAAGAGGAATTTTTTCAAGATAAAATTTTAAAGTTGTTACGCCTCTGCTTATAGGAGCCTTTTTAAATTTTCAAAAGTCCTTAAACCTCTACTTGGAGAAGCCATTTAAATTTTCAAAAATATTGTTGAACTTCTTGAGCCTTTTTTCAAAAAAAAAAAATTTCATTCCGAACAAAATGGTTATTTTTTTGTCTTTGTCTTATTTCTGATTCTCAGAAATAGATAAAAAGGGACAGCTGTAAACATTATTTTTTTAATTATCATCATCATCATCATCATCATTTTTTTTCTCTCTTTTTACTTTTTTTCTTTCTTTTTCTTTCCTTATCCAATTCAAGTTGACTAAGTTATGAGTGCATTAAATGCACCATCACCAAAGTCTAAAATGCCAGCGACCGTCACTACCGGCAGTCACCCGACACGCTACCTAAATTGGCAACATGAATTTTA